TCAAAAAAGAACACAGATCTTGTACCCCAACTGCTACAGGATTAGATTTAGCAAGATCTGATCTGGATGCCATGACAATGACCACCATTAGCAATAAGATATATTCACACGACTGCTAGGACTTTTTCTACTACCCTCTGGACGAGATTGCGGTCAGATGCATCCAGCAGCAGCCGACATTGCGGTCAGATACGTTTAGAAAAGAGTTCGTGTGAGTATGCCCCAATTTTCATTGTGGGCCTGGATGGCTCCAGTACTCGAAATGATTGTACATATGTGTGGACTGGACAGTGTGCTGAGACACATTCACAGTGATTCACAGTGAATAGATTGGAGCTTTGTTCCCGAAAAAAAAAAAAAAAAAAAAAAGAAAAGAGACACATTCACAGTGATGCACCATTGTGCACCTTGGACCGTGCAGTGCTCCCTTACCGAAAAAAAAAAAAAAAAAAAAAAACATTATGTCCCCGGAACATACTGGAAGCATCATCCAGCTTCGCTCACAGCCGGATCTCCTGCCCGTCTGTACCCGAAGACCCCAGGCCCCAGGTCCCACTAGCAAAGAGGATCGGATCCAATGCCTGAATCTGGATGTGTCTTATGCAGAGGTGCAGAAAAGCAGTTCAATCTCGATTTCCTGCACATCTCCACAAAGTCGTCCAGATTCAGGCATTCTATCCGACCCTCCTGTCTCTTATACACATCTAGATGTGTATAAGAGACAGCTGCACATCTCCACAAAGTCGTCCAGATTCAGGCATTCTATCCGACCCTCTTTGCTAGTCTAGATGTGTATAAGAGACAGGAATAGGCAACTTTAGCAGTTCCCGAAATGGAGCAAAAAATGCGACCCCCCTAAATCTGCCAAGCACCACTGGGGGGGTAATAACTGGCGCAGTTTTAGACCCTCGCTAAACTTGCACATTTTGGAACTCACACCATGAGATGGAGGCCACTTTGTCTTTTCTTGCCCATTTCAAACTAAAAAGGTGACTCAGGAGCAGTTTCCCCCAAAATAAATAAGATAAGAAAAAT